CGTGAAGGGCCTCGTGACCTCCGTGGAGCCCGGCGCCCCCACGGTCCTGAGGTGGGCGGGGGCCGCGGGGTGGTCCCTGGACGCGGCTGGCCTCGGGGGTGGGACACAGACCGCAGACAGGCGTGGATGATGGGTGGGGAAGAGAGTAAAAATGCGTGGTGGTGGGAGGGAGGGAGGGAGGAGGGAAGGGTGGGGGTGGACGGGTGACGAGGCAGTAGGCTCCCTGGTTTAGGGACAGAGTTTGCGGAGGCGAGAGACTCCTGGTCACCCCTAGAATTCATCGGGGCCCTACAGGGAGATGTGTTTCTCTTGCCTGGAAGTTCCCTTCAAGTGGGAGAGGCCCCCCCAGAGTCCGCTCCCTCTCAGAATGGGCCCAGTCCTTGCTGGTGACAAACACCCCACGGACTGTGGGTGGAGCTGCTTCTTCCAAAATGAAGTCTCTTTTCTTTCCCCCCATTGGCCACTCCAAATCCTCCCCCCCTCCCCCTAATTCTCGTTATGGACGGTGACAACACCGCTTCTCAGGAGCATTGTCCCCATGGACTCGGGGGCTTGGCAGTCACAGGAAGCAGAAGCACCTGGCTGCTCAGAGCAGGGTTACGGGACAGACGGCCGTGCACAAAAGCCGGTCTGTCCCCGCCTGCAACAGCCGTTGGAAGCTGCTACGGGAAAACCAGGTCCTCCTCACTGGCAGCTGGTGCGTCAGGAGTGAGGGCTAGTGAGGGACGAGGAACGGGGACTTCGTCATGGCAACGCTGGGCTGGCAGAGGCCACGTGGGTGGAGCCGGGCCAACGCGCGTCCAAGCCTGGGCGCCCTCGTCCGCAGAGCGGGGAGGATTCCATTCACCTCGTGCGGTCGGAGCGCACGTCTGTGCTTCCCTCTCGCTGGTGGGCACACGCGGGGTGTGGGGACACAGGGATCGTTGCCTCCAGGGCCTGATGGTCTGGGCCAGGGCAGCACTCGGGGCCGTGCGCCCGGCCTTCTTCACGGGGCTCGTGCGTTTGCTCACGCGTCCTGAGCAGGCCTCAGTCACAGGCCAGCTCCTCAGAGAGACCCCCGGCCTCACCCCGCCTGGTGGCCTCTGAGCGGTGTCCGCAGTCTGATGGGGGGCTCCGGTCTATCTCCTCACGCGTCTTTGCCTGTTCCGTTCACTGCCACGTCCCCCGTGTTTAGAAGGGTGCTTGACACGTAGTAGGTGCTCAGTTAGACGTCTAGGGATGAGGGAATGCGTGCACGGGGTTGGCGAGGCCAGGGGCAGGAGGGTGGATTGATTTGGGAGCCGTGGGGCACGTGGAAGCGATTCCAGGGCAGTGGGCCTCGCCAGGGCCTCACGGGTCCCCCGCGGTGGCTCCCGCGGCCACCTGACCCCCCGCTGTCCTCCACAGGTCCACGTCCACCTCCTCACCTGTCCGTCCGGCTGCCACCTTCCCTTCCGCCACCCACTGCCCGCTGGGCGGCACCCTCGATGGCGTCTACCCCACCCTCATGGAGCCTGTCCTGCTGTCCAAGGAAGCCCAGAGGGTCACCCGGCCAGAGAGGCCCCGAGGAGACACCGGCCACGCCTTCCTCGCCAAGCCCCAGGCCCGCACGGGGCTGGAGCCCGCCTCCTCCCCCGGCAAGGGCCCCGAGCCCCGGGCCCTGGTGCCCCCTGGCTCCGGCCACGCGGCCATCACCCGCACCCCAGCAAAGAGCCTCACACCCCACCACGCCAGCCCGGACCTCCCGGCTCTGCCCGCCTCAGCCACGGACCTGCCGCGAGAAAAGACTCAAAGTAAACCCTTTTCCATCCAGGAGCTGGAGCTCCGCTCTCTGGGTAAGACCATCCTGACAGCGGACTCCTTCATAGACGCGATAATCACGCGTCACATTGCTCCCGATAAAGGGCCGCGAGAAGGAGGTTCGCTGGCCACCGACTCCCCTCGCGATGGTAAGACTCCGGCCCCCGCCGCCCGCCCACCCCGTCTCGTGGCCTAAAGATATTCTCAGATCTCTGCTTTTTATTTTTCCCCGCATTTTTCGTTGGTTTTGGCGTTTGGTTTTGGAGCTCGCGTCCGTCGGTTGCACGCTCTGGCGGCCCCTCGGGCCCGGCCCCCGTCTCCCTGGCGTGGTGGGGGCACCGCATCGTTTGCACATCGTTCCGTCATGAGTTTTTGGGGATTTTTTTTTTCTTTTTTTTTTGGATTTTCGCTTTTTTTTCCTTTAATGAATGGATCTGTGACTTCGACGTCCGCCGTGCCTGCCATCCGCCCCCTTTGCGCCTTCGTCTGGGGAGCAGGGAGTGGGCCGCAGGGGGGCTCAGGCCGAAGCCTTTGCCCGCTGCCGTGTGCGGATGAGTTTGGTTTGGAAGACACCCAGCAAGGAGGATGGGGAGGGGAAGGGAGCACCCCACTTTCCAAGAGGAGCAGGGAGCCTGACCCCTGCATCCTGCCTGGGTCATGAAGGAGACTTGGGGGTCCCCTGGTCCCATGTCCCCCTTGCTGACCCACCACCCAGCATCCCTGGGGAAAAGAGAAATCTTCCGTGCCCTGCCTCTCACCTCAGGCCCCAGCTCGGGGCCCCTGTTTGCTGGACTGCGGACTTCGGGGTTCGCTGGGACCCGAGTGTCACTCCCTGCCACACCCCCCACTGACCTCCCTCCCTCCGGCCTGTCACCGCTGCCTCACACCCCCCGCCCCCCAGCCCCCACTGTCCGGAGCCGTGTCTGGCCCTCACCCCACCTGTGTCTCTCACTGTCCCCTCCCGGGTCTGTCTGCCTCTCAGCCTGTCTTCCGTGTGTCCCCGCCCCGTTTTTCTCTCCATCTGTCTCTCTCTGCCATTCCTTCTCCCCCCGAAGCCCCCTCTCTCTCCTTTCTTAATGCACCCTGCCCGCACCCTGCCCCTGGCCAGCCGGCAGCCTGGGCTTCAGCTCACCCTCTCTCTTCATCCGCCCAAGTCCCCTGCTGCGGCCTGGGGGGACCGGCCAGCATGGGAGGGCAGGGGAGGGTGGGCTGGGCAGGGCGGCCTGGCTCGAAGTCCTGGTCTGGCCTGACCTCGGCCTTGCCCTGCTGCAGGTTACCATGGCGGCAGCTACAGCCCCGATGGGGTGGAGCCCGTCAGCCCTGTGGGCTCACCCAGCCTGACCCATGACAAGGGGCTCCCCAAGCACCTTGAGGAGCTTGACAAGAGCCACCTGGAGGGGGACCTGCGGCACAAGCAGTCAGGTAGGGCCCCGCCCTGCCCCGCGCCCGCACACAGCCCTGCAGGCTAGGGACAGGCGTGACCCCACCACGCAGCCAGGGAGGCCGAGGGGTCGCCTCGGTCCCGCAGCTGGCATTCATTCGCGAGCGCACCCCGCTGGGCACACGCCTCGTCCGCCCCCGCCCCCGCCCCCTGACCAGCTCTGCTGTGCCCGCAGGCCCCGGGAAGCTCGGCGGTGAGGCCGTACACCTCGCACACCTGCGGCCGCTGCCCGAGAGCCAGCCGTCGGCCAGCCCGCTGCACCAGACCGCCCCGGGGGTCAAAGCCCACCAGCGGGTGGTCACCCTAGCACAGCACATCAGCGTAACTACCCCTTCTCTGCCCCTTCCTCCCCACCTTTGCGCCTGGGGCGGGGGCAGGGGTGAAGGGAAGGTCACGCAGCTCCTTGGTCTGGTGGGTAAACTGAGTTCTGGTGGTGAGGACCGGGCACTGGGGTTGGGGAGGGGAGTAGCTTCAGGGATCCCAGAGCCTCAAACCCAGATTCCATAGCCGCCCCTCGTCCAGCTCATGGAGACCCGGTGTGAGCCCGTCACCCACGTCCCACCCACAATGGCCCCTGGCTCCCGACCTGTGCGGGACCCCCAGTTTGAGACCTCTGGCCAAGCGGCCGACCCTGGGCACGCGGGACGTCGAGGCCACTGGGGGCCAGGCCCCAAGTACGCATGCTCCGAGCACCGAGCCGGGGTTGTGCCCTCAGCGTTCAGTCTAGCGCCCCTGGAAGGCCTGGCGGGTGGCAGCCCCTGACCCCGTGCCTCTGGCCTGCAGGAGGTCATCACGCAGGACTACACCCGGCACCACCCACAGCAGCTCAGCACACCCCTCCCCGCCCCTCTCTACTCCTTCCCCGGAGCCAGCTGCCCCGTCCTGGACCTCCGCCGCCCACCCGGCGACCTCTACCTCCCACCCCCGGACCACGGGGCCCCAGCCCGTGGCTCCCCCCACAGCGAAGGGGGCAAGAGGTGAGCTCCGGGGGTGGGAACCTCTCGTTGGTCAGAGGCGCGTGCCCGTGAACAGATGAGGAACCGCGGCCAGAAGCTGGCAGTGTTTACCCAGGGTCACGGCTGGTAGACAGCAGCTGGCACGTTCGTCCCACTCTGGGGGTCCAGGTGCCCAGCCAGACGCCTTACACGTGTGAGGGGGACTCTCATACAGCACAGGGCATGTGGGCAGCTCTGGCCCCTCTCACGGGTGAAGGAACAAAGGCATGAGAAGCGAGTCGATGCCCCTGCCCACAGGGACGCAGGCACACACGTGCTCACGCCCTGGGCGCCCGTGGGCCTTGGGGGCAGCGAGGAGAGGGGAGGCCTCCCGCTCTAGGAACAGGAGCTGCTCGGGCAGGGGGCACCGCCTGAGGGAGGCGCGGGTGGGAGACAGCAGCCTGTCTTTGGGGGCACAGCGGGGGTCAACAAACGCCACCCACGGGTCAGGTCCCGCCCATAGCCTATTTGCGCCCAGGCCACGAGCTAAAGGTGGCTCGCGTTTTTAAAAGGTTGTTAAAAGCAAAGGACGTAGGACAGAGACCACGAGTGGCTCACAACACCCAAAACGGCCACTGCCTGGCCCGGTACAGGACGGGCGAGCTAAGAGGGGCGGGGCTTGCCGGGGGAGCGAGGTGGCTGCGTCCCTTGAGAGGGAGAGCGTTGAGCCCTGGCCACAGCCCGGACCCCTCCTCCTAGGTCTCCAGAGCCAAGCAAGACGTCAGCCCTGGGTGGCAGCGAGGACGGTATCGAGCCCGTGTCCCCGCCAGAGGGCATGGTGGAGCCCGGGCACCCCCGGGCCACCATGTACCCACTGCTGTACCAGGACGGGGAGCAGGTGGAGCCCAGGTACCATCGTGCGCCCCCCCCCACGCCCACGGGAGCTGCAGACTCAGCCCCTTGCCCACCCGTGGCCTCAGGGTTTAACAAGGGCTTCAGTGTGCAGCTGGGGGACCTCACACCTGCCACGCAAATGTCACAACCCTGGGAGACCTCAGCGGCAGCTCCTCGTGCCTCGGGCCGGGTCTCAGCTGCTGGCACTCAGGGAGGCTCTGAGAAGTCATCAGCGGGATGGGCTGGGCCGTGGTGGAGCAGGCGTGGGGCAGGGGCAGAAGAAAAGGCCAGGCCTGCTGGCCGTGGGGAAAGACGTGGTCTGAGCCCTCTGGCTCCCAAGGCCTTTTTCAGGGGGGTCGGAGGCTATTGCAAGTGGACAGGTATGGGCCCCCAGGGCAGCCACGGCTCCCCGGAGATGCCCTGAGCCCGAGGACAGGCTAACTACAGCGACGATCTCAGGAGACGTAGCCCCTAAGTTGGGGATGCAGGGGCGGGACGAGGGAAGCCGGGTTCTGGATTTTTAAGGCAGCCGAGGTGGCGAGTGCCCCGTCCCCAGAGGCTGCAGGCGCAGTGCCAAGCGAACTGACCTGGGCGTCTGACCCTCGCAGCAGGATGGGCTCCAAGTCCCCAGGCAACACCAGCCAGCCGCCCGCCTTCTTCAGCAAGCTGACCGAGAGCAACTCCGCTATGGTCAAGTCTAAGAAACAGGAGATCAACAAGAAGCTGAACACCCACAACCGCAACGAGCCGGAATACAGTAAGGGGGCCACCTGGGGGCGGGGAGCCGGCCCGGGGCAGGGACCCACGGCGGGGCTCTCCAGAGCCAGGTGGCCCGGCCGACCCCCCTTCCCACGTCTGAGAGGCCCCGGCGGCCTCTCTCCTTGCTGCAGGCGCTTGCCAGTCCCGAGTGGCACTGGAAAGACCAGCAGCGGGCACTCTGTGAATGCGCGCACGAACGGCTCTGGGTCAGACCCCTACCGGGGGCCCATGTGTCCCCCAGTCCCGGTGCTCGTCCCATTCATGACCGTCCCCCAGGATGTGGTGGGTGGGCGTAAACCCTAGCCTGGCCCCCCACCCGTGGCACAGTGCCTGGCACATAGCATGTCACGAGCGAGCACATGGCTACAGAATCGGCCCCAGCCTCAGGAAGGCTGGTTGGCCAGGGAGGTTTGGGGCATCTCAGGAGCTTCTCTTTCTGAGACTGGAGTAGCCACCTTGCAGATGGTCGCCGGCCCAGGCGGGTTCCTCCAGAGCCTTGCCTAGCACAGTGCTCCGGCCAGCAGGTCGGCAGCCCAGGCAAGCTAGTCAGAAATGCACAACCTCGGGCCCCCCAGATCTGCCGGGCCCTTCTGCCCCGGACAGGCTCCCAGGCGTGGTCCTCGTCTTGGCCAGTGGCGGGCAGAGCGGGTGGCTGGCTCCCTGGGCCCAGGGCCTGTGGTCTCACCCATCTCGTCACACCCTCCAGACACTGGCCAGCCTGGGACAGAGATCTTCAACATGCCCGCCATCACCGGAGCAGGTAACCGTCCAGCCCCCTCCCGTCACTGCCACGTCCTGGGGAGGTCAGGCTGGGCACGGGGGCCTGGAAGGAGAGTCAGGGAGCATGGCCTTAGAGGCCCCTGGGGCCCCCACCCCAGCCAGACTCCTGACAACAAGGGGCCCTTGGTTCAGGCGCCCCTCCTCTGGTCTCAACGAAGCCGGCAGTGTGGCCTACGGGCTCAGCGCGACGTCTCCGTGTGGCGTTGAACCCCGAGGGCCACTGGTGCCTTTGGCCAGGCACAGCTGCGGGAGACCCCTTCCCCACCCACACAGCTACAGGCACAGCTGCAGGAGCCCCCCCTGCACAGATGCAAGCACAGCTGTCGAGTCTCCCCCTGCACAGACGCAGGCACAGCTGTTGGGAGCCCACCGCCGGGCCTCGGAGGGGCCTGCGAGTGTGCGGCTGGGAGCCAGGCCTGTGTTGGGGCACACAGGCTCCACTCATGGTCCACGCAGGCGGCACATCCCTTCCACTTGGAAATTTGAGCAGGGAAACACTGACGCTGTGTCGTGGAGATGGTGTCAAGCTCACACACGGTTTTAAGCCACACTTAAGCCTTCCGTGATATTTGGACTTGGGGACGGGGGGGCCTAGGGGTTGGCCCAGCCTCTGGTAGGGGCCACCCGTTTTCTGTTGCTTCTAGGGAAGGACTTGGGTGGGGCTTTCAGGCGGCGCCTTGGTGAGTGTGGTGTCGGGGGTCTGAGCCCGGAGTCGACTGGGGGTGACGCACCCCCCCCATGGACAGGCCGTGGCCCCGGGGTGGCGGCTGGGGATTTGCAGAGCTGTGGGAGATGGGCCGGCCTCCCGGGGACTGGTGAGCAAGGACAGCCAGGATTTTATCAGCCATCAGGGCCTCCAAGCTGATAGGGCGCATCTGTCTCCCCAGTAAGCCTCAGGCAATAGGAAGGAGCCGGTGTGGCCGAAACAACAAGATGGTTAGCAATGAATGCTTCCGGAACGTTCCGGATCTTGACATAGGCACCAGACGCACAGGTGCATGTGTTTGCAGAGGTGCAGTGCTTTGGGCCAGACCTCGTGTGTGAGCTGTATTTGACCCTTTTAAAAAAAAATCGTTTTGTTCACACACAAAAAATGTTCCCAGATGTTGGTCTCTGCTGTGCACGCCTGGCGCCGGGCTTCGCCGTGGTGACTGGAGCCCGTCAGTCTCCTTTCCCTGCACGGTCACCTCACGGCCGTGACCTCGGGTAAAAGGCTCAGGCACATCTCTGATCCCTCAGACTCTAATCTGAGCAGAAACCGTCACGACCTGTGTCCCTTGCGTCATTTCCTCCCCCTGTTCCAATGTTTGCTTATTTTGTAGGACTGTAAATACCGTTTCTTTCTAGTGCTCAATCTCGTTGGACATTTTGCTATTTCTTGAGGGCATGGGGTTCTTTTTGTTTTTCTGTCGGTTTTTGTTTCTTAAGTGTTGATGAAAAGTGGCTAAGACACAGCCTAAAGTGCGGAGAGGGTGTCCCTGGTTGTGAACGGCTTTGACACGAAAAGGAAGAAACAATGTAGTTGGCAGTTGGTTGCTATGGAAACGGGATGTTCAAAGCTGCCGTGTGACTCCCAGCCTCACAGAGGCCCTCGGTCTCGCTCAGAAAGATGCGTGCTTTGCGCCCTCGCTGTCCGTATGTTCGCTCAGAGCGGAAGTTTTAAAATCCGTGGGTGTATTTCCCGGCGGCGGGCGGAGTGGGCTGGGGGCTAAAAACGCTGAAAAGAGACACCGTACCGGGATTTGCAAAAGTCCCCAGAATGGGTCACAAGGAATATCTTTCAAAAAATGAGATGAGAAACCTGGTCACCAGAAAAGGAGGCTTAGTTAACGGGACTTGACGGAGGGCGTCCGGGACCTGCGTGTCGATTCGGCCACTCTGGGACGGGGTTGCTGGGCCGGGGGCGGTCACGCAATTGTCTCCAGCTCTGCCCTGTCCCCCGCACGCACCGTAACTGCATGGCTGCGACCCCCACCTCACCGTCCGTCTCTGCACCTCTTTCTCCTCGTGGCTCCGGGTGGGGAGAGTTAGGCCCAGCTTGAGAGGCAGGCGGGACTGGGCGTCCCCGGCCTCGTGGGTGGGGGCGGTGGGGAGACCGTGCAGTCACCTTCCTCCCGAGTCTTCTCCCAGCGACCCCCGCCAGCCCCTGGGACCCAGGGTGGCCCTCCCTCCCCGTACCCGGTGCTGACCGCTGGCTTGACTTGGTCTCCCAGTGGCCCCTTCCCGAAGCGGGGTGGCCCTCTGAACCCCTCCCCCACACCTCGCCCCGTTCCCCCTTAGTGAGGCCACTCGGAAATTAACAAAAGCAGCAGTCCCAGCTGGAACTGGGGGTCAGAAAGGGGGTTCTGATTTCCCGGAGGGCAGGGTGGGAAGAAGGCTGGGGCGGGGGTGTCCTCTAACCTCCCGAGCCCCACCACCCCTCCCCGGGGAATGCCCCAGGGCTTCCAGGGCCCAGTCAGCGGGAGCCTCCCCCACCTGCACCCACAGGAGAACTAGCGGGGGGGAGGGGGGGGACGAAGAAACGTGTCGCTTTGCCAAAATGTGCTCACTGTGTATTCTCTCTTCTCCTC